ACAGCTATTCATATATTTTTAGTTCAATTACTGATTAAATTAAAGTTTTGTCTAATGTAAACAGGTGTGTGTGCATGTGTCGCAGAAGGCAGAATAGGAATTAAATTAGGCCTATAATCCTTGAATGGACATTTGGATGATAGTGAATGAGCAAATAAGAGAAAATGCAACACATGCACACAAAAAATAAAATAAAATAAATTGCTTTAAGAGTGGCTGCAATTTTCTCGTCATTTCACGCATCTGAAACAAAACTAATTTAGTGCTTGTCATGCTTGGCTTGGCACACACAAACATAAGAGCCAATATGCCACAGCGTGTCAACTGCTGCTGCATCAAAGAAAACTGTTTATGTATCAGACTCGCTGTTTCGTATGAATCATAGGGACCTGGGAGGAACGCTTAATATGGTCTTATCAAAAGGAACAGTCTGGCAAACCCACTGATACACTCGTGCCTTTTCCACATCTTCCTGCTTTCCATCTCTGACAACATCCCCTCTGCTTATATCGCTCCTCATAGGTCGCTCCAATGTCACATCAGTCTTGAATTTTATTTCTTTTTTGGCATCTCTCGCTCCCCCGCACACACACACACAGATTAAGTTGTGTGCTTGGCAGCTTAGAGTGAAGCAGAAAGATATGGAGGAGAGTGCTGGAGGCAGAAACTATGAGAACGAGAAAGAGGGAGCAATAAGATGAAAGAACGGCACAAGAGAAAGCTAAAGGGACAAAAGGCAGGTGCTGCTGCGATAGTAGAATGAACATGCGTTGGACAGACAACTGACAGCGTAACAGGCCTCAAGATGAAGGCAGACATTCTGAGAGGCACATGCACGCACAGACAGTTTAATAAATCTGTTCTCAGTAGGCTTTAAAACATTTGCCGACTTAACCGTTCGGAGAAGAGCAAAAGTTCCCATTAAAGTGGATGCTGTGACGTGCATTGATTTCTCCTCATTGAATTCACAAAGCTTATTGTTTGGAGATGCTCACTTCAGACTTCTGCCACCGCTGGGGCAAACATCAATATGCAGTTCCGCGGTGCATTACAAAAGGATTAATTACATACTTGTAGCTAATTATTCTCTTAATACGGCATAACATTTCCATGCCTAAAATTTGAATTTAGATTAAAGCCATCCAACTGTCAGTCAGAGATACCACCTCTTTTAACGTCTAATTATCACCATAGTTAGGCAACAAATGTATAAAAAAAACAACATTAATCCAATGTGAAAACAATCTAGAGAAATTGCATTTCCTGTGAAAATGTAGTGTGAATGCTTATTGCAGAAGAAATTGATGACCTAAAAGAAAATGATGAAAATGTAGACGTGTAAATCAACAGGAGAAAAGCAGAAAGAACACAAAACTTGAAAAGATTGCAAAAAATGTAGCTGAAAAAGCTAATATTAGCATAAAAACAGCTAAATCGTGGCTGAAATAACTGAAACTAGCAGACATAAGCTGAAAGGAGTATAACAAGTTTAAATTAGCAGAAATAATTTAATTAAGCTGAAAGGAGAAGAAATTACCATGAAAAACTTGAATGTATCTGAATGCTGAAATTAGCTAAAAAAATGCTAAAAAGCTAGCTGAAATGGTAGCACAGGCTTAAATTAGCATAAGAAAGCAGAAAGAACATGTTAGCCCATTTAGGCTGAAAGAATTATAAATGAGCACAAAAAGTGGAAATTACCAGAAAAAAAGTACCATAAAAACAGCTGAAAGTAGCTAAAAATTGCAGAAAGAAGCTGAAATTACAAGAAGAGATTTTTTTTTTTTTTACTGAATTAGGCTGAAAAGAGTTTAAATGAGTGCAACATAAGTGGAATTGTCTGAAAATGCTAAAAATTAGCATAAAACAGCTAAATAGTAGTTGAAATAGCAGAAACTGGCACAAACTAAGCTGAAATTAGCAGAAAGAAGTTAGAAAAAGAAACAAAAATGTTGTGGTTAGCAGAAAGAATCTGAAAGGAGCACCAAAAAGACAGCTGAAAGTAGATGAAAAAAAGCTTAAATTTGCACAAGGAAGCTGGAAGAAGCTGAACCAGAACAAAATGTGAAAGGAGCAGTAAAAGGTTGTAAACACATCTAAATATATGAAGGATGTAAAATGAGCTCAATTCATTTTTAATGAGAAAAAAGTGGCAGAAAAAGCTAAATATTTCAAAAAAGCTAAAGTTGCACCAATACCAAAAGTCATAGCACCCTTCTCCTGCAAGAGCTGAACGTTTTGATATGATTTGCTGAAATGGCACAAAAATTGTGGAACGAGAAAGATGCCAAAAAAACGTCCGGAAGAAAAATGGATCCCAACAGTGTGAATGCTTCATAAACATTCACAAATTAAACATTATCTCATCAGAGTGACATATTCTCACATTTAACAAAGCAGTGTGTTAAAACTAAATTTCACTTTTACGTCAACGCAACTGCTGATCATAGCGTCCTACTGCTCTAAAATATGCGAGACATTATGTTGGCAAGAGGAGTCGGAGAGTCAGACATGCAACTTGTAATCCCCTCTGTTGTGTTATGGACTGGACACTGGCCTGTGTCTGGTGGTCCTGTCACAGCCCAGAGGGGTGTAAAGTGTGTACAAGTGAGGGAGGCAGCGAAACGAAGAGAAAACGAGAACAAACAGAGAGCTTCATTCAGGTCTAATTCACAGACGCATCATTCAGTCCGACATGACGATACGTCTCTGTGACCGCAGCATTCATACGGGGCCTTGCCAGCCATTCACAGATGCATCATTCACACCCGCACACTGACACACAAACACACTTCCGCTGGCTCGTCCCTCCACAGCCACCAGGCATCTATATCACTGCAAAGATCCTCCCATTCATTTTCATTCACAGTTTCCCTCTTGACATAAACACATTGCAAAGATTTTATTTGGCGCTCATTCTAATAAGGGTGCCGCCCCTAAAAAAGCAGTGAATGTCTTCCCTGCCAAGGGTGAAGTGAGAGTTTATCCATTAGCAAGCAATAATATTGACAAGGCCCTGCTCTGTGGGTCCAAGCTCCAGCCTTGTAGCTGTAAGACTGGCCGACAGACGGCGGGTTGTATGTCAATGTGAGGTGCTTACCTGCCGATAAAACCTGCCGTTCCAATTCCTATAGGCAGACTTTGATGGACAGCAAGCAGGGGGAGAGGACGGGTGAACAAGTAGCACCGCTTACTGCCTTCAAAGTTCAGGACTGAGCTGGAATTTGGTGAAAGGATAAGAAGTCAACCTGATGAGGTAGGATTTACAGACTTCTCAGGAACCAAATGTGCCGCTTTAGCAGAAATTGGGCTTTTTTAAATATTTAAATTAACACACACAGTGACGCACATACACAAACTGAAATATCAAGATTGTGTCTATAAGCTCATGACCAGCCTGTTAAACAGCAAATATGATCACCCAGCAGACTACAAAGCTCGTTAAATTTTGTTCCAGTTGCTCATTAATGAACCTGTGTGATGTGGGTATTAATGCAGGTTCTCAACACACACACAAAATCCCAACGGTATTAACATTACCCTTCAACGTATAAAATGATACAACAAAACTATGTTTACAGCCCCTTGTGGATTTCCAACATATAGCTCTGTCCTTTCATTACAGCTTAAAATAAGCTTTAAGGCTTGTGGATTATTAAGACATCAACAAAATGTGCCTTTTCCATGTTGCAAGATATTTGTAAAGAAAGTTTACTAGAAACTGGAGGAGCAGCACTGAATTGATGCATTGAGCCTGAGTGCAGGTGGATATAAGGAGGGGGGAGCCAGTAGAGGGGCTCCATGTGTATAGTCGGGATGTTGCAGGAGCAGCTGCTTTCCGTGCAGAAGGTGAAAATGATGGAAGAGGAGAGAAGGAGGGAGCAAATCAGAATAAGAGGTGGGCTAACCAAATTTAAATAAAAAACAACTTCAAATGAAGATGTGAAACAGCCAACCAATAAAAGCCAAAATGACCTAAAGTTGTTCTGAGTCATCATTCAACTCTTCTACAAGCACAATGCAAACAAAAAAAAAACATGGAGGCAAACGTGCTGTTAGGATGTCCTTGATTCTTTTAACTGAAGATCACAGCATCGGTTGCCTCCACTGATACAAAACTCCATAGGAAAAGACAACCTAAACTTTGTGGTCTCAACATGTTCAGAGCTTCTCTCCATAAATCAATCAACCTTTTGAATACATCTCAAAAGACCACCACATATAGTTTTATTATTATTATTATTATGCAAAAATCTCAGGTGAAATTGTTAAAAAGTTAAAAGCGGCAGGGATTTTTAAACAATCAAGGAGTCCCTGAAGTCACTGCGGTGTTTTCTGTCATGGGGCTATCCCTGCAGTAAAGCAGTTTGGTTCAAACGCTTGGACAAGTCATGTCCCGACGATCCGTGAAGCAACATCAACACAAACCCACTACTGCAAAAAGCTGCACAACTTTGAAAACTAAAACATCATGAGAGTAATTGTATAAACCCCTCAAGCCATTCTGAAACAATTTATGGGGCAATTTGAAACAGATATTTTCAGGCTGGATTAAATCTCATTGCAATGCTTCAAAATATATTTGACTAACAATATGGATTATTTGTTTATCAAAACCATATAAATTGCAGCAAATGCTGGCACAGAAGTTCTATCACTTTGCTTCTAATTTCTCCTGAAATTCCAATCTTGTCAAGCCTACACGCCTAAGTATTGATTTGATCCCATTAGACATGAACCAAGTTGATTTTCTTAACGTGAACATGGACAGTTTGGGCATGCAGCTCTCCATTTGGGTGATCCCGTCAATAAGGTTCCGAGATTAGAGAAATTACAGGTCATTAAAGGTTTTCAGCTGTTTGCCCAAAGTCACGTTATATTCTGGTCGTAACAAGAACTAAAACAAGCCGGAGCCGCCGGGTGGAGCGGACATGGCGCAGGTGAAACACGCCTCGTGTCACCTGGCTGCAGCAGCAAGACAAATCTGCCTCCACTCTTACCTGAAATCTATGCAGATATCAGTCCGAGCCGCATCGGCACTGCGGAGAGGAGGCACGTCCACAGCAACTCCTTTTAATGCCCCTCCATCCAAAAATAAAAAAATAAAAACAAGAAAAAGAGGAGAAATGTTCACATTTATAATAAATCCTGCTCAAGCGTGTCCACTTTAAACGATCCCTCGCAGGTGTGCAGTTACAAGGCGACTCCGCGAACAGCAGCAGACTTCCAGCAGCATCCCGGATCAGCAGGACTGTTCCGAGCCGCGCAGCGCGCTCTGACACGCGCGAGCCGCACCTCCCATCTCCGGGCGAGGACGCACTTGGTATGCGCTTGGAAACGCCGCTGCACCGTGTGGGATACCGCAGGAGGGAGGCTGCGTCTTGGCGTGCGTGCGTGCGTGTGAGCGTGCCTGCAGAGTGAGAGAGAGAGAGCGCGCCCGCGTCTGTGCGTACAGATGTGACTGAGTGCGGTGCTCCTGCCCGACTGAGGTGCTGAGGCTGCTGCAGCGGAGTGCGAAGGAGAGGGAGGGATGGACCGAGGCGGGGTGGCGGTGTTTTTTTTTTTTTTTTTTTTTTGGGGGGGGTGGAAAGGCAGAGACACGGAGTTTCTGCAGCGGATCCTCAAGCCTGGAAGGGCCGGCGGCAAAGACGCAGTTCGGATTGAAGCGTTCGTCTTAAATTTGACACCAGTTGTCTCTGGACGCGCCACTAAACACGCGCGAGCTGCTCAGACACTAACCCAGTTTATAACCCCCAGCAGGAAGGTGAAACGAAACAACTCTTGTGTCCTTCCAGTGTCAGGACCTTTAAAACATTTGCGCAGCCCAACAAAATTTAAGCTTTTTATTATTATTCTTACCCGAGAACTCAAAAGAATGGCAGAAGGTGGGATTAAACCAACCTTAATCTGTCTCAGAATACAGCGAGGCATGGGTCCTGCAGCCAGGAGAAGGTTTATGTAATGCACTCATCCCGGTGAGGATGGGATTTGGCAGTGCCAAAAGGGGGGGTTTACGCAAACGCAACAGCAACAACGCTGGGGGGTGAAATGATCAGATCATCGGATTTGAATACCTAATCGCAGGATCATTTAAAGACGGAGATCAGGCACCCCGATGCAACATAATTACGACCCTTGCATTGATGTGAGGGATTAGAATCTGCGATTATTTTCCATTGATGATCTTCTAACACGCCTCCGGAACGCACCACCCTCATCCCCCCCCCCCCCCCCCCCCATGCATTTAAAGCAATTAATAGTCTAAAAGCCTAATTATGTAATCATGTCTTTAAAAAAAACTGCGGTGGTGCGGAAATAATAGGAACACCCCCCCCCCCCCACACACACACACACACACACACACATAATAGCCCTCTTATCTGCATATTAAGACAATTTACAACTAATCCATCAACACTGACTAAATATTGCACAGTCAACGTATCTGCAGAGAAATCTGTAGTTTGAGAGCCCAGTCTGCCTGGGGAGTGATTAAGTGTTGAGTTGGGGGGTGGGAGGGTATGTTGGTGAAAAAATAAATTCCAGTGACCGCCCTTTGACCATTTATTCAGCATTCACATGCGTTTTGGGGGATTTTAGAGAAGTATCGAGTTTGCTGCACCAGCCTCTTCCTCCTCCTCTGATTTTCCTTCCAGAGGGGGACACTTGCTTTGAAACACTGCATCAGAGCCCCCCCTACAGGCCAGAGAAACTTCACAACTGCACATGCAAAGAAGGCAAAGTGCTTCTCTGACCATTTCTCAACCGCAAGTGGATAGTACGGTGGCCGACGTAGGGATAGGGCTTTAATGTGCCACAGAAATAACGCAAACGTCACAGTTCAGCCAAGTGGGAGCATCATGGTGATTCTTTTTAAAGTATAGTGTTTGCAATAAAACAAACATAACCAGGAACAGCAAAATTACTGATAATGTTGTCCGGAAGTATTGGCTGGTTACCGTTGCTTTTTCCTGAATTACATAAATAAATAAATATGTATATTGAGACTAAGTAAGATAATAATAAGACAAGCTCATAAAAATATATTTTATGTAGGAGAATGTGTAAAAATGTTAACTGCAAGTTCATTGAAACTCTCAGAAAATAATAAATAAACTAAAAGTACATATATAACCGTTTAACCTTTGGAGAACACATGATTCAAGATGGCCACCTCAGCAAATTCACCTTAGTTAACTCTGAAGTGACTGTAATGCAGTCAGTTTTAAAGCCATTGAGCTGGAAAAGTAGGTTTAAGAGCAATATTAAGAGTTTAAAATTATTATTCAAATTGTGTAAATATGACAACATGGCTTTTGGTTTTGTGTGTCACTCAGAAGAATAGTCTGGCTACACCCCTTCAAGACCTTCTGGAGATGACCTTATGACAAACTTTACTCTCATTTCCCACTGACTGTGCTCTACACCTCTAAAAATGGTGTTCACACTTGGTTTTCTGAATCTGTGACACCAAATGTGAACAAAATAGGTTTATAGACAAAAACGTGGGATTTGTTTACTGTATTTTTTGGACTATAAGGTGCATTAAGCAAAACAAGTTCATTTTGACAGATTATTGAGCGTCATGTACCACAACAAATCGGTTCGAGGTCAGTAAGTACAACCAGAGTTAATACATGAGGCGCACTAGATTATAAGGCTCACTGTCGATTTTTGAAAAAATTAAAGGATTTTAAGTGCGCCTTATAGTCCGAAAAATATGGTACTTAAAGTTTTGAGGATTTGAAATTCTTCTCTAGAGCTGAACGTTTCGCACTATTGATCCTGCTGGGTGTCCATCAGTGCATTTACTGAAGCTTTGCAGGCACCTAGATATTTGACAGCGTCCAACTTTGCAGCTGTTTAGAAATCCATACTAACCTCGATTTTTGTAAACAAATACCTGCCAACCTGCACACTGAGTATTAGATCTAGAAATCCACCCAACGTTACCACGAATAACAACTGACCCCTTTCTTAAACGATTAACTTGCTTTGTTCTTTGATGACCATTGATTCAAATGTGGATCAGGTCTTCGCTCATTTATCACACTCTGGTCTTTGTGTCAAATTCTGAGGGCATCTCCCAGAGTCATCTGAAGGATAAAAGGTACAGAGACGCACACAAACCTATTGGGTTCATTTAATTATTCAATAACAGCAGAGAGCTAAGTCAACAGTCTGTGGTTCTCAATTATCAGATAACTGTCAAAGCAAAAACAAATCAATGCTGCTGCAATCTACAGTGACAATAGTTATTTCATGAAGGATCAGGAATGTTTGACCTAAAGTCTGTTGGTTCATGTTTAGATCAACCAGGCTTGGATTAAATTGTAGGACTCTGTGATTATTTTTCATTATAAGAGTAGGTTCTTATCTGTGTTCTGCATGGGCATAAATTATTAAAACCCAAGGACACACAAATGGCTCTTGAAAACTTAAACAAGATTTATATTTGAGATTTAGGTTATTGACTGAAAATAAATGTTTTTAACCATGCAAGGAATGACTACAGAAATAAGTTCATTTTAGCCCCTGACAAAAGCAGATTATTTAGCAGTTTATGTGATTCCATGATTAAATAGTCTAAAAATAGAATAGCAGACTTGGGACGTTTTCACTTTCATAAGCAGTTTGTTTTTCTCAACATTTTCATCCTAAAAATTCAGGTTTATGTGTTTAAACAAATAAAAACAACCGGATTATGACCTGTGCCGTAGTAAGGAAATACTGAAACAAAATGTTATTATTGCAGGTATTAAAGTTTGAATTTGAGTGTTTATAATTTGGGAGCCTCCGTTTTTAAGAAGAAAGGAGGTTGTAAGCTCGATGTTTGGCTCCTTGACCAATCCGACTTCCCCATTTGTCTTGCAAATGAGATGATGACTTATGGAGGCAACATGAATGGCTTTGATGAAGCCCTTTTAATGCCGGACTGCAGGGAGGTGTGTCTGCGTGTGTGTCCAGTTGCCAGCTGGCACAGTGTTATTTCAGCAGCTCTCCTCGTCTTGCTGAACACTGTGTGTGCCTACACATTGCATCCCTGTGTTCTTTGAATCAACTCCATTTTAAACACGGTTTATCTCGAGCATGTGCAGGAGGAGCAGAGAGCACCCCACAATGGTAAACTGTTCCTGTGGGTATTCCCCTTTTCCACATGCACACTGTATTACAAACAAAACTGGTATTCATCTATATCTCCTCGTGCCTACATGCGCTCTGTGGTCAAACCATCTCTATGGTACTGCTGTCTCAAGGATTACGATATTTATGAGCTGCCACGGTAATGTCACATTTAGTGTGTCCATCTTCATAAAAGCCTCTGCCCACTTCCTTCGGTTTAGTCAAAGATTTTGCTCTTCCTGCTTCAAAATGCTGAACAAGTCAACCTTACCCACAATTTCTCAAGTTTGTTGAAAATGTATTAGTGTGTCACTAACTAATGAAGCTTTATGTGCTGTATGGAGCAAATAAATGACACTGATTTGGATTGTAAATAGGTTTTCACTTTGCTGTCCGTGTTTTGAAATAGTAAACTATATTGAAACTGGCATGTCCAGTATGTGTGCATGTGTGTGTGCGCACAGGAGTGGATGGACGGGTGTGTTGAATGTGTCACTCAGTCATATAATTAGTTAGTTTGCATATTGATGGCTTACAGCTTTTTGTGTGTAAATGTGTGCACTTGTGTGTTGCAGTTTGTATTCAGCCACGTCAGTTCGAGAGTTTATTCATCCGTGCTTCAGCCTCCCCATCGAGCAAGCAGCTGTCTGTCTGTCTATAAAGCTGTGTGTCCAGACCACGGCCAGGTGAATCAATGTTTTGCCAGCCATTTCTCCAGAGAGTCAATCTCATGTCCATGGAGATACAGACAAAGCCCCCTCTGGCCGTGTCTCAGCAACGTCCGCCCCAGAATTAAACTCATCCGTTGGGAGAGATTTTGCAGATGGTCGGGGGAAATGGAGATTTGGAGTAAAAAAAAACAACAAAAAAAAACCCAGCAGCAACCAAAGTTAAAAATAATAAAATGGGGTAAAATTAACTGATATT